GATTTTGACTGAAAGCTTTCAAGACATACAAACACACAGCTTGTTAGAAAAATCACAGTTATTAATATTGGGTGTACAGTCATCCAACAATGATAGAATCCACTCACTAACAGCAAATAACACCAAACTTATTTGCTGGGATGTTGAATAATGCCATACCTGTTCCTCCCTTGTACGTTAAAATGCATTAAGAGTGTGCTGGGTCCTGTAGGTTTGAGTCAAAGTGCTGAAAACAATACACCCTATAACAACAATGAGTCATACAGCTGCAAACCCAGAATAAATTTGCTATAGCATGCAGGCATAGGCGTCTATTGTGCACACAGTGGAATGAATCACTCTGGTGTCTACTGCATGTCCAACAATACATCTACAAGAAAGAAAAGAAAAAGCTCACGTTCTTACAACCTGCTCTAAAGCAGAACTCTAGCACGACCAGAGTCTCTTTGTAATTATCTTTTTATGGAGGTTCGTGCACCATATTCTGCTTTTAAACCCAGAATCAAACTCTGCCTCTAATAAGCCTAACCACTGATTAAAATGTCCAGCCCATCTTAAACAATGGCTGGGCAGTGGATATTTAACAACTTATCCAGCAAATCCTAAAGATGAGAATTCAGAGTTTTACCAGAAAAAGTGTTATGCAAAATGAGAAAGAGATAGTACAGAATGAAGACAGAATCCGATCCAACAAGATACAATCAATGACAGTTGGCCTAGCGTCACTGAGAATACATACAACTCTGTCTAGGAAGTACAGAAAATTAAAATAGAATTTTGATAATAAGATGTTCTCTCTGAACAAACTAATATTGCAGCTGCTTTTGACCTTGCACTGCAGATTATCCAAACCATAGACAAAAAGGCTCAAAACACAAAGACATCCTGTCATTTAAATTCCAGCTCCATATTTTTGTTCTTTGTCTCTGCTGGAGTTACTCTGCATGATTCCAAATAATCCTCATGCATCTCATCCTGGGCACTGGTGCAGTCCCTCAGTTCATCCCCTGTCTGAAAAAAGCTGTTTACTTTCCTTTCCCCTCCCTTCATGCCAACTCGAACAACAGGTGGGTGGGGCCTCTTTGCTCATAGCTAAAGCTTTGCATCTGTTGTGAATATATTAGGAATTTGTTCTCTCACCAAAAACTGAAACCAAGGG